GGGAAGAGGGAGAGAGAAGTAGCGATGGTGGATGGCAGAAGGCGGGAGAAAGGCCAGAGGTGGGATGGTAAGAAGCGGCTGAAGAAGTCGGGAGGGGAGAGAGAGAGAAAGAGAGAGAGAGAGAGAGAGAGAGAGAACAAAATCAAATGACTCCACCGCTAGAACATGGAAATATACATTGCGCACATGCGTGCAGCACACCAGACGTGCGCAGCGCACTGCGCACCCAGATGCGCGGCAGGCGCTGGTGCGCGCGCACCCTGGGTCCGGGCACAGCGCACAGTGCCGGTGCCCCGCAGGTATGGTTTGATCCCTCGGCATAACCACATAAGGCCCTGCATCAGGCTCGTGCCTGCCCTAAGTGAAGGTGGGCCCCTGAACTCGTCAATTTTTGCAAATCTTGGTCGGCGCCAGACAGCTACATCCGCCCTGCACGTGAGAATGGGAAAGATTCGTGAGCCTTCCAGGCCATTCTCAACGTGCCCAAAGCAGGGGACATCGCACATTCATGCCTGGGTGGTTGGGCATTCCTAACCAATTCGGTCCCAGGCCACTGTCTGAACGCGCCTGGGCGCAGACACTTGGGCCGAGACTGAAGCTACCCGGAACCGGGTCTCACATGACGGGGCAAGGCAAAGCGCCTGCCACTTCCCATATAGGAAAGGGACGGGCGCCAAAGGATTCATTTGGGCACTTGCAAGCAGGTGCGGCAGCACTGCTGGAGCATTAGCTCGCGAGCTGCTGCGCTAGCTGCTTGTAGTAATCGTGAGTGCGCATGCGGTCGTGCAAGCCAACTGGGCGCTGCTGAGGCCAGCGCCATAGCCCAGCCCTTCATAGCCGGGCTTCGGCCTTGGAGGATCAGCAGGTGGTGGTGGTCTTCGTGTATGGGAAGGAGACGTGGTAAGAGAAGACGAGGGAGCGAGAGAGAAGGCAAGGGTCATGACCCAGAAGTCGAAGATCACGTCCCACAGACCCAAAAGAGGCAGCACACCAACGAAATTGAGGGAGGTAGTGGGCTCAACATTCTGAAGCAGACAGGCAGCCGGTACCGTATCCAAGTCAAGTCAACAAAGAAGCTAATCCTCCGATTTTCGCATATCTTGTTCATCAGACATTGCATGAATCACAGAAACTGAACTCTAAAAAAAAAGTTATGCTTTAAAAAGAGCATGGTTCATCAGATGAAATACGCTCACAGAATAATTGGAGATACCACATGCGAATACCATATAACCTAATTGGCTAGAAGCAGAAGCTGGGACTGGCCAGCCACATTTCGAACAGATTGCTCATGCGCAAGAAGTGGGGAAGTGTCGCTGAGCGCTTGTGCGCTATCTGTGAGTAGCATGCGCTAGAGCCCTGGCTGGGCAACGCTGCACTGTGAGAGGAAGACGGCCATAGCCGCACAGCTAGTAGTAGTAGGTAGAGCTGAGTAGTAGTGAATGTATCCAGAATCAAGATCTTCATGCAGAGAGAGAGAGAGAGAGAGAGAGAGAGAGGCAAGGAGAAAGAAGGTCACCTACCTGGATGACAATGCTGGATATGGGTTGCTGAACTCCACGCTGCTAAGCGCTTGGTGACTGGAACTCGGAAACTGTTTAATATTATAATTTGTAGGAATTTCTAGGCTGCGCTAATCTGGGCTTTGCATCTCTGGTCTCCAGTGTGGATTCCGTGTGATCTCCCAATGTCTTTGTGCTCAGGGTGACGAGCAGTGTGGCTCAATGCACCGTATCTGTGCAGCAAACCTAGCGCTCGGCCCACTGGACCAAGACAGCTGGCAGTGCCACACAAAAAAAAAAAAAAAAAAAAAAAAACACTCAAAGCTGGTTTACTTTCTATTGGCCCACAGCACTTCTGCACGGGGAAAAGTGGCCCGGTAGTACAACCAAATTAAAATTACCAGCTCAGCGACTGCGTCAAAACTGCCACAGGACACCAGGGGTCGGCAGCAGTGTAAAAAAAATCTCTTCTTTTTTTTCTGGAAACAATGCTCCAATCTATTTGTGGGGAGCAGCACATGCTGGGAACCGCACCCAACGTCCCTTACGAAAATGTACACGACAATTTGAAACCCTAGGGCCATTGCCCGGCTTTGGCTGTGAAGAGTAGGAACATTCATGAAAAACTGCTTAAACCGCCAGTTCACACGAAGCTAGATTGGCAAACCAAAAGTTGCACGTTTCCGAGCCTGACTGCTACAGTAACAGGCTGAAAAGAGAAATCTCGGGGTACTGGTACCAGCCTACCTTGTGCTGTCCCTCATGCCAGCAGATGGCACCGAAAAGACCAGAAAAAAAAAAAAACTCTATATCCAGATCAATGATGAACAAAAGCCGTTGCCCTTTCATGAAAGACACAGAAAAGAGATGTGGGGGAAGCCATCTGACCTAGGGCATACTCACAATAGTACTGTCCAGAATGTATCTGAACACTATAACGGCCAAATCATTGTCTTTTTTTTTTCTTTCCATTGTCTTTTCTTTTTTTTTCCCCTTATTTCTTGTACTGCCCTGCCAGAGGCAGAGCGTTTTCCACCTTCTTAGGAAAGGCCCTCACCAGTACTGTCCAAAATGTATCTGACGGCTATCATGGCCATATCTTTCATTCCTTTTGTATTTTAATCTAGGCTGAACTCCGGGCCGCCTGGCGGCCGGCTCATCACCCGGATGGACAGCGATTTGAAATGTTTCAAATCGGGCCTGCAGGCCCTTTTTTTTTCCCCACGCTGTTCTAGTTTCCCGCCTCACCTCGGCGGGCTACTGTAGTTCGTCTTCGCCTTCGAACCCCACGCCCGACGCCTCACTTCGGCCGACTTGCACATTCGTCGTTGCCTTCGAACCGCGCGCCCGCCAACGCAGTCGACGCCCCCCGGACGCCATCGTGCTGCCCGCCGACACCCCCGGACGCCATCGTGCTGCCCGCCGACGCCCCCCGGACGCCATTGCACTGCCCGCCGACGCCCCCCGACGCCCTCGATGCGCGCCACTGTGAGAGTGTCAGTACAAGGGAGGGAGAGAGAGAGAGAGAGAGATCTTCTTTTTCTTCTTCTTCTCCTCCTCCTCCCTCGCTTTTTCTTCTTCTTCTCCTACTCCTTGCTTCTTCTTCTTCTTCTTCTTCTTCTTCTTCTTCTTCTTCTTCTTCTTCTTCTTCTTCTTCTTCTTCTTGTCGCTCTTCCTCTTCCTCTTCGTCCTCTCCTCCTCCTTCGCTTCTTCTTCATCTTCTTCTTCCTCCTCTTCTTCTTCTGCTTCTTCTTCTGCTTCCTCTTCTCCTCCTCCTCCTCCTCCTCCTCCTCCTCTTCTTCTTCTTCTTCTACTTCTTCTTCTTCTTCTTCTTTCCCCCCCTGCCAGCCATCAGCGACCACCAGTTCCGTTTTTTTTTATTTTTTTTATCTGCCTCGTGCGCGCGCGTGTTGAGGCGCGTCTCCTACACCACCCCCCTTCTTCTTCATCATCGTCTTCTTCTTCTTCTTCTTCATCATCTTCTTCTTCCCCTTCTTCTTCTTCTCCTACTCCTTCGCACCCTTTCTCAGCCCCCGCCCTCCATTTCTCACCCCCTGCCCATCTTCCACCTTCATCTTCTTCTTCTACTCGCCCACCCTTTCGCAGCCCCCTCCCATCTTTTTCTTCATCTTCTTCTTCCTCCTCTTCTCTTCCTCTTCCTCTTC